CACATAAATGTAGAAACATACAAATGAGTTTTTTTAAGAGCAAAACACAAAAGCTTTATAATTATACTTCTCTGCAAACCTAACATCATGCTGGACATATTTCCTATCAGCCCTCATAGCTCATGAGCCCATAGAATTGCTTTTAGTGCTTGAAGCACATGACACAATTTATCTAATTATCTCCTTAAGGCTATCTTCAATTAATATTTCTGTTATTGTGGGAAATAAGATACCACATCAAGTACTTACAAGTTATGAGTTGTATATTATAAGAACTGTACAGCAAAAAGGAGTGCACCTGCCCAAATGCCACAACAACAATACTAGAGACTTTCTTTGATTGTAAGAGTAACGTAAAACTCCCCCAGGATACGCTTGGTGATTACCAGGGCAGACAGGACCACATTGTCCTCAGGTAGAGACCAGGGCATTCAGAGCAAAGGAGAGGCAACGCCTGGTGGTTATAAATCAGCTAGCTTTAAAAGGCTCCTTGAAAAACAGTGTGGAAAATGCACATTTGAAAGAAATTTTCCAACTTATTCAGTGACATGTTAAAAATCTATCAATTTTAGAGACTTTTTTTCCTACCTACTGACAATAGACCCCATCTTATGGTGGAACGGCCACTTCTACTTCATTTTCAAAGCTGGCTGCACTGAACACAGTTGCGTTCCCAGGCATGGATGGTGGATGAAGGTTTTTTTCTAGAGTAGAATCCTAGAAACTGATTCCTATTTGCCCCGGGGCTGTCACAGCCAGGAGGTCGGGAGTGGCAGATGAAGCTGTCTCAGGTGCACTCACTCACACTGGCCTGCAGTCTCTTCCACCCCCTGTGTTCCCAGGGTGGGGGTCTGATCAAGCTGGCCCCACCCTGGAGGAAAGGCGGCATCTTCAGAGAGACCGAGGCCTGGGGAGGCCGAAAGCACGTGAGCCCCAAGGCCTCTCTGAACACCTTCCCTACAGGCCTGGGTCTCACAGGCCTTACTCTGCGTACCTCCCATCACAGTCTCACCCACTGTTGGAATGCATCACCTATGCACGGGTGGAGTAACTGTTAATATCATGCTTCTACTCTTAAACAGAAAAAAGAAGAAATTTTGTGAGGTTGTTTTGAGACAGGGTCTCAAACTCACTCTTGCCTCTGCCTCCTGAGTGCTGGGATCACAGATGTGTGACACCATTCCCGGCTTGAAGCAAAACCTTTTCACCATCTTGACTCCCACCTACTATTTATAATTTGCTTCCTCTCCCCAATTCCACTGGGATATAATCTAATCAATTTACTCCCATAATGAAGTTGACCACTGATAACCATTCGTATCCTTGCCTCCCTCCCTCCAGCTATTTTCCAGGTTTTCCTGATGATTAAAGCCGCCTGTGCTACTTGTTAAGCCTATATGCCCAGGTCCATCTCCAGGAGAGTCTAATTTGGCAGTTTTGGGGGTGCAACCCAGGAATCTGTGACATTACAGAAAGTCCCGTGTGATTCTTTTGATCAGGAAGCTGAGGAAACACTATTCTAACCTACAATAGTATTTCTGATGGCTGTACCAGAGTAGAGGTTATTCCTCAAGTTACACCAACTGCAAATGCTACACCGTTATCTGCACAGAGCTTGGGCATACAGTTTACCTGTTATAGAATATAGACTGCAGCATACACATGTCTCAAAGAGCAGTGAGAGATGCTAAAAAGACATATGGATCGGGTTCCAGGAAATCTGAGTTCTCAACCTAGCCCTGATACTCAATTATCAGAGCTTGGGTATGCTGTTTTCATGTTGCCCCATCCTTAAACTCCTAAGTGCTACACAATATAGCATTCTTATTCACTATCTCTGACCCAGGAATTGTACTTTTAGAACTTTATGCTAAAGGTTAGCCAGGAAAATGCTGAGAAACATTCATCATGTTGTTATAATGATGAAAAATTGTAAACCATATTAATGCCCCTTGATAAGGAACAGTGAAATAAGCACTGGTTGAACTAAACATTGAAAACCTAAGCAGCCTTAAAAAATCATGGAGATCTTTACATGTAAATGAAAATGTCATAAAATGCTGGAAGTGATAAGAGCAGATTTCAAAATAGCATTTAGGGACCCGGGATTTAGCTCAGGGGTTCTGCCGCCTGCCTCGCCAAGCACAAGGTCCCAAGTTCGATCTCCAGTACCGGGGGGGAAAAAAAGAAAAGAAATGACAACAACAACAAAAACCAGTATTTAGGCCTGACTCTTAGATTTTTAAATTGCAAGTGAGATGCTACTGAGTGAGGTCTTTTGACTCAAGAGCCTATAGAAGCGAGACTGGTTCAGATTCTGCAAGCACACACATTCCTGCCCAAGCAGAGCTTTATGAGAAGAGGAGGAAAGAAGTTTCAACTGAACTGAGGCTTTGGCTGAAGGATGCCAGCCCTGGTCAAGAAAGAGTGATCAGAGCAAGGAAATTAGTGATTTTTAAGTTAACCAAGAGAAAGTGAGGCTAGTGGACTTATTTCAGTTTCTTTCCCCCTTGGTAAAAACCTCTCATCTCATGCAAACATTTTGCTTCTATAGTTTTATGAGGATCTCATAATACAGCTGTTGAAACATTCCGTGCTGCCAAGGGTAATGGTTTACAACACCCAGCCAGGCACGGTGGAGCATGCCTGTGATCCCAGCATTTGGGACGCTGAAGTAGGAAGACTGTTGGGAGTTAGAGGCCAGACTGGGCTTGTACTGAGTTCAAGGTCAGGCTTAACTACAAACTGAGACCCTGTCTCAAAAAAAAAAAAAAGTTCACAGCACCTAGGAATTTGTTTTGTAATCTCATCCTTCTGCCCCTTTCTGATGTTCCCTAATTCTTCTGGTGTCTATAAAAAGTCTCTAAAGCAACTTATATAGACATTAGTAGTAACAGAATTATGGATCACTATTAGTTTTCTCTCTATCCTTTTTTAAAGGTCTGCATTTTTTGCAGTAAAATGTAAACTCATACTTGAAAGTAAATGATGCCTCATTTAAAAAAGAAAAAAGTGCACAACGTCAGGGTGACTTCCACAATGACCAGGAGCTTAGCAGTTACTTAAAGGAAAGGTTTATGATGTGAACAAATCACGTCCCCTCCTCACGTCCCCTTTTCACTCCACACTGGAGTTGTTCATATTTTATCCAAAAGATGATGTTTCCCCATTGTTTGGGAGGGTCACAAACTCACTCACCTGGAGTCAGTTTCAGGGAACTCTGCTTTCATGGCTGAGCCACAGAAACAGTTAGCAGAATATTCAAGGCAAGTATCAGGAAGGGCAGATGCCACTTTCTCCCCAAACTCCTACCTCTCAGCTGAGCCGGCTGTGCGGGTGAAAACTCAGGTGCCCTCAGTTGCAAGAGGGTGGGGTCCCATCCTGCTTCTTGCTATAAGAGCTCAGAGCAGGCCACCCTCTGCCTGCTGCCTTTTGTCATGGTGCGAAGGCAGAGAGGAGGTTTTGGGAGTTTCCCAAGTTGCCCTTGGGCAGCCTGGAGGTGAGGACTGCTGGAGCTGGGAATTTTTGTGCTTCAATTCATTCGTAACTCCCTCTCCTGTCCTCTTCTCCGTGTCCAGGTCATTTTGTTTCTTCTTCACGCTTGCGACTTCGGCGAATCCAGTTGACGGTCATCAGCTGGTGAACCCTGCCTTCCCAGGTAAGCCCATTGAGTGAGGGAGATCCCCTCGGCAGAGAACAGGGGTGGGTAAAGCGCCTTACTGGCCAAGCAACACACGGACAGTGCATCCCTTGGTCAGGTCACTAGATCTTTCCTTGGTCTGCCTACGGGTTTGCCATGTCCGCTAAAGGAAGGGGGCTGAAAGAGAACTACTACTTTCCAACCCCCCTCCCTCCACGTCCTCAAATCTTAGGGCGTCTACAGAACAATAAGCCGTAACATTAAGTCCTCATCTCTAGGGCCAGTGGTCTTTAGCTTTGGGCTTCAGGAAAGCAACAACGTAACAGGCAAGATCAGAGCTCTTCCCCTTGAAATTACAGGGTTTTTTGTTTTGTTTCTTTTTAAGACTTTCATCTGCTCCAAAGGTTGCAAAATGTCGGATCTTTGGCAGAATTTGTTCTGAAGAAAAAATATGCCCTGGGGCTTACCTAGGGTGTTTTTTGTTTTTTGTTTAAACTTCAATTTGAAGAACCTGTAGACAAAGCTTTTATTCTTTAGTTCTTCACAGACCTACTATTCCCACCCTAGTCAGCTCCATTACCAAGGTTCTGGCTTGGCTCCTAGAGGCTCGCTTTTTAACCCTGAATCAGACATATTCTTGGAGTTTCAGAAAGCCCTGGTGTTTAATGGATATCTTCCTTACAGTTTTCGGCATATCCTACTGTAGTCCCGTCTTTTTTTTAAACCAATTTATGAATTCCCTGAGGTGGGGAGTCAATCCTAGTCTCTCTCCCCTGCTGTCCTTCTTTGATGGCTGTTGGGGAGGAAGAGTCTCTCTCTACAGTTCTGGAGGAATTAATGCCTCTTGTAGTTCAAAAAGACCCCAGCTGTTTCCTTTCCTCTCCAGGTACTGTCACTTGCAATGAAAATGAACTAACAGTGGAGTTTTCAAGAAGTCTTGGCGCGGAGAAATGGCACGCATCTGTGGTGGGTAGGTAACACCGTGTCAGCTTCGTCCCACATAGTAGAAAGGCCTTGGTTCAAGGCCAGCCCTATTTATCTGGTGCACAGAGAACTCAAATTTTGGAGCAACTGGCCTCCAGCAACACCCCTGGGGCCATGGAGTTTCCTATTTGTTTGGTCCTCTATTTGTTGGAGGTCCCTATGTTTCCTAGGAAACTCCTTCTACTGGAATCTCCAGGGAGTTCTTGGCTGCAAGGCGCAGCATCTCTGAACTTGGGTGTTAGCCCTCGGTCACTCCCACTGGAGTGCTTTGGGAGTGGGCTGGCGGCCTTGGCTCAGTGCCTCTGGCAGACTCGCTGAAGTGTACCCTCAGCCAGCCCCTTCCCTGACCTGCTCTGGCTTCTGTAGATCCCTTTGGTGTTGAAATGCTGAACTGCACTTACACCCTGGACTCAGAAAAACTCAAACTGAAGGCTCCATATGAGACGTGTTCCAGGAGAGTGGTAAGAAACTGCTTTTGTGGAGTGATTTGGCAAGTATTAAGCTAGTACTTACTGCAGTCAACTTGGTGGCTAAGGATGTGGGCTTTGGAATAAGAGCAGTGGTTCCCAACCAGAGGGTTGTGTGTGTGTGTGTGTGTGTGTGTGTGTGTGTGTGAGTGTGAGTGAACTGGCCCGGAGGACAACTGACAGTGCTGAGAAGTATTTCTGTTTATCCTAACTGGAAGGGGGGTGGAAGCTACTGCTGGCCTCTCGTGGGCACAAGCCGAGGAGGCTTGCTAATAGCCTCCACTGCCCCAGGAAGTCCCACATGGGTGATCGGCCTGAAATGGCAAATGTGGAGAAGCCCTGGGTCTGAGAGCCCTTGAGCCCTAGCTCTGCTGCTACATAAGCGTGACTCTCAAAGCATGTTGCTTAACCTTCCTAAGCTTCTCTTTGCCTGTTGGAAAATAGGGATAATAGGTTAACTACAGATGAATTATATTATACAGATGAAGACTTGATGCAGAACCTAGATTTTAAAAATGCTCCAATATGAGCTATTTTTTTCCTGCAAGCCCCATGTGAGATGCAAAGCTGTTTTGATGCTAGCAAATAGAGAACCTGTAGCCTAAAAACAGGTGTTAGAAAGCAAATAGTAGCTAAGCAGTAAGGGTTTCTCTATTGCCAAGCAACAGTATTGGCCAATCAACGTTGTTAGGAGTGATAAAAGCAAACTGTCACAGAAGTTCTCAAGCTTTAGCCAGGTGTGGTATATGTGGGAGGCTGAGGCAGGAGGATTGCCCTGAATTGAGGCTAGCCTGGGCTGCATAGTGAGATCATACCTCGAAAAAAAAGGTGTTTTTTTTTGTTTGTTTGTTTGCTTTTTTTTTTTTAAACTTTAGAATACAAAGGATCACCTGGGGAGTTTGGAAAGTAGGGATTTAATGGACTTGATATAGGTGGGGGGGGGCGAGTCCTGGTATCTTCATGTTTAATAGGCCACATCACGTGATCCTAATAAAACTAGACCATGTAGCATAAGTAACTTCTTAAGAGCTGGAAACAGGCTGGCACTATAAATGATCTGGTCTATCAAGGCACTTTGTGAATGCCTAATGGAAGTAATTGCTGCCTCTTGTGAAAATATCTTGGGACTAAACGTTCTTCTCTAAATCTTCCCAAATCTATAGCGTTTAGGAAAAAAAGTCATGGGACTAAGCATGGCTCCTCGAAGAGTGTATTTAAAATTCTATCGATCTGGCCCACAGTCTGTCATTAACACTTAATAGAAGCTTGATAGGCTTCTGCTTTTGACAGGTCTCAGAGCTAACCTCCAAGGTAGCTGTGCCTGACACAATGGCTGTTCCTTCGTGCTCAACCGGAGCATTGAATAACTTGGGAAAGCCCTCAGAACATCTCCACTCAGCCAGGGCCACAACTTCGAGACACAGGCCGAATAGAAGAGAAATAGAAACATGAAAAGCTGAACTCTCTGATCCCTGATGCTCACACTGTTCTGACAATGAGTCTTTACCAGGCTATCTCCAAGAGCGGGTCTCCTGGCATAGAAATCACAACTTGTAATGTTGCCACTCTGTTGGATTCATTCTGTTCTTCCTGTGCTGTTTTCACGCAGCCCGGTGGGCACCAGCTGAACATCAAGATTGTAGACAACAGTGCTGCTTCAAGACCTGGGGATGCCATACACCAGTTCTTCTGCCCAGCTGTGAAAGTAGAACTACACGAGCTTTCAGAATCTACAGTCTGTATGAAGGATTTCATTTCTGTAAGTGAATCAGACTGACCTCATCTATGGCGAAAGCAGGGGGAATAGGAGAGTATTCTGGGAGCTGGGCTTAGAGATCGGATAGGACTTCAATGCTGTGTTGCTCTGTGACTGATGTCCTTTTCGTAGCCACACTGAGGCTTTTTTCCAAGTCCAAAATGGAGGAATGATAACAGCCACCTGGTAGGGTGTCCTATGAATTGGCCCACACTCTACAATATATAGGGTATCATGAGCCCTAGCAATAGAAAGGGTTCAAATGGTATCTGCAATCATATTAACGATCACTTGACAACCGGAGTACCTACCGTGCTCCAGGTTCTGTTGCAGACGCTGGAGTCAATGAGTAAAATGGCCCAGCCACGTTGCCGTGAAGTTCATAGTCCACCATGGCTGACGTTGATGCTGGACAGCTAAAGGCAACATTTATAACCTAACGATGTAAGTGCCCTGCCCATCTGTAGATGGGAAGAAGCTGCACATCTGGAACGGGACAGAGCTTGGATGCTCCATTGCATTTAGGGATCTGAAGCACAAAGAGAGGAAATGACATCTGAGCTCACAATGGGGCTTCGTGAGCAGCCTGGTCCTTTGCCTACAGCCTCCCACAACAGGATTCTCGGTGCAGAAACGATACAGCAATCACGCTGGGTGTTTTCTGCTCACTGAGAGTGGCCGTGATTTCAGATACTTCGTCCTCCAAGTTGAAAGCTTCACATGGTGTTTTTGTTTTTCTTCCAGTTTTCCTTTCCACAAGTTATTCGTGGCATGGCTGATGTCGGTGAGGTAGGAAAGCAATCTTTAAGTTACTAATCGTACTAACACTTCAGATTAAAATAGAATGTCAGCTTTAATAGATTTAAAAGATGAGGATATTCTAGTCTCCTAATTGAGTGAACACCTGTCCTTTAAACGATGTTTTTATTTATTATTATTATTATTTTAGAGGAATGAATCTCATAGGGGATGGATCATCGAGGTTGGTGATATTTCCAGAGCCCACAGTCTGACCCTGCAGGAGGCCCTAAGAGAAGGATTTAATCTCCTGATTGACAGCCAAAAGATGACCCTTCATGTGCCCATCAATGCCACCGGTGTCACTCATTATGTGGTAGGTGTCACAATCTCCTTGTACCACCAAGTCACAAACCAGTGAATTGTAAGCATTACATAAGCCATGTCTTCAAGTTAACTGGCAACACATGGATTCAAGAAGCATCTTAATGCCTCCTATGGGCCAAGAACTTCACTGAGTACTAAAGGTGTAGCAGTAAACACAATGCACATAGTCTTTACCTCAGTCTCTTCTCTCCCTTTCCTGTAAACTTGTATCTGTGGCAACTGGAGGAACAAGGGTACTCCTAAAAGTCTTATATGAAGTAAGGTGTTCTGTTCGGGTTACATTGTCATGTTTTAGAGTAAGTATTGGCATTTTCTGGGCCAACAGTGAAACACCATATTAACTGTAGTCATGTGTTTAAGTATAGTCATGTGCTGCTTAGCAAAGATTAGGTCAATGATGGACCAGATCACCTTGTCAATCCTTACTGGATAAAATGTCTACATTCCTTGGGCACCCAAACAGTGCCGTGTGCCTGAGAATATATTTGCTTTGACAATTCTCACTGTCAAGTTAAGCAAGCAACTGTCTTCAAAAACACTGTCTCTCCAGCAAGGTAACAGTCATCTCTACACGGCGGTTCTGAAGTTTTCATTTGTGTCTCCTGGGCAGAAGATCACCTTCTCATCACAAGCTATTTGTGCAGCGGGTAAGGCCATCGGGGTGGAAGGAAAACGTTTTTCTAGGGGGCTTAATCAAGGCTGATAATGGTCATGCTGTCCATTGTTCCTTCCAGATCTGTCTGTGACGTGCAATTCCACGCACATGACTCTCACCATACCAGAATTTCCTGGGAAGCTGACTTCTGTGAGCGTTGAAAACAGGGACATCCCCATGAGCCAGCTGCATGACAATGGGATCAACACAGAAACAACAAATGGCTTGAGATTACACTTCAGCAAAACTCTTCTCAAAACCAGAGTATGTCTGTCAGTCCTGAACCTGGGGAAGCCTGACTTTAAGTATTCTCTTGTGGGTAATCTTTGTACGACTTTAGAAAGCTTTTCTTGATCATCTTGCATAAATTTATTTTTAACTAGAGTTTTCTTGAACACCAAGGAAGTCTTTTTAACCTCTGCACCTCTGCAACGGAATTTTTTCCTGTTTTTTTTTTTTCCTCCCTTCTTTCCTTTAAAAAGTACCAACTATGTGTCAATTATTCAATGAAAACTGTTATTCTACTAATAGGTTCTTCCTGAGTCCAATTTTGACCGATGCAATCACCATGGACACCAGAGAGTGATCTTAGTTCAGGGTGTATGCTTTGTAATGGTATTTTATAACATCTGTAGTCTTTTGACTCAGACTTGGCTTGACACAGTGTTCATCCTTTGGAATTTGATCTGTTAATTCAAGCATTAGTGCTTAGGACAAAGGGCATGCAACCCTGGGTACTTCAGAGCGTGAGTTTAAAGCAAGACATTTCCTGCCTGAGAAAGTATCCGGATTTGAGGAAGTGATAGGGTTTCTCTCGTTGGCTTAGAAGGGAACCAGATAGCCCAGAGTACACCCTGCAAGTATTTAATGGACTTTCTTCCTGTCTCCTGTGACTGCCCTGGGCCCCAGATAGGCTGTGACCACTAACTCGCATTCTTTTGTCATTTCAGTTCTCTGAAAAGTGCCTACTCTATCAGTTCTACTTATCTTCACTCAAGCTGACCTTTTACTTTCAACTAGACACAGTATTCATGGTGACTGATCCTGAGTGTCTTTGTGAGTCACCAGTTTCTATAGGTAAAGTGCTTTTTTATTTTTTTCTTACAGTGGGAAAATCTACAGAAGTTCAGGTTCTGATTATTGCTGTGATGGGGCCCCAAGAATGTTTCTAAAGCCTTCCTGTAACCAGATCTCAGTCTAACTGTCCTATGTTTGGTTCATCTGGATATTTTGATCAGAGTCCTGAGCCCATCATCTAAATTAGAGGGAATATTCAAGTTTGAGAACTTTTCCCCTTAAACTTCTACAAAGTTTGTAAAAGGACTAAGTGTGTATTTTCTCTCATTCAGCATTGCCTCAGTGCTTCTGTTTCTTTGGAGTTGTATCGGGTTAATCCAAATGACAAAGATTAACTCTTGTCTCAATTTCCCTTCAAAGCATTAAAGATTTGTGAGTTCAGCCTAAGGATCCATTATCCAGCATGCCTGGGACCAAAAGTTTCAGACTGCAAATATTTCAGAAATCTGAAAAATTCTGAAGAGACTTTGCTAGTTGAGCATCCCTAGTAAATAAACCTTGAACATCGTGTCAATACTCCGTCTATATTAAGGGACATGATTACACGAGGCATTGTTCTCAAAGCCATTCAAAGTTTGTCACTGGAGCTTATGGCTTTTCTCACTGGCCTCTTGCTCTGTTTGACCCTTCTTTCCATGTCTTCTGGTCTCTCCTTCCCTTGTGGTGAGTTTAAGATCACTTATAATTCAAGCTGCATATCCAGGTGTTAACCCCAACCAGAGGCTTAGGACAAATTCTGGTGCCTCTTGCTGAAAATTATGAGTATTCCCTCCTAACACAGGATTGATGGATGATGCGTATCACTTTTTGTTTGGGTATTTTTCAGAGAACTAAAATCATTCTGTAGAAGTCATTTTCTCTAAACCTTCACTGCTATCTAGTTACAGGAGAGCTATGTACCCAAGATGGCTTTATGGACTTTGAGGTCTATAGCCACCAAACAAAACCAGCTCTCAACTTGGGTACCCTCAGAGTGGGGAACTCCTCCTGCCAGCCCGTCATCACAGCTCGGTCTGGGGAGCTGGTGAGGTTTCACGTACCCGTGAGTGAATGTGGCACAAAGCAAAAGGTTAGTGCTGGCAGCTGGTAGGAGGTTATGATTTCCCTTCGAATGAACTGTTGGCCAACTTTATCTAATGTTTAAGTTTGAAGGCGATAAAGTCATCTATGAAAACGAAATACATGCTCTCTGGAAAGATCTTCCTCCAAGCAAAATATTCAGAGATAGTGAATTCAGGTGTGATACAGTTGTTACTTGATTTTTCTTTAAAAGCTCCAGTTTAAGTCAAGGAATTTTCTAATTGAAAATTGTTACCACCCCTACATGTTCTTGCAGAATGACGGTGAAATGCTATTACCATAGGGATGACACGCTACTGTATGCCAACATCCAAAGTCTTCCTCCTCCAGCGGCCTCTGTGAAGTCAGGTCCACTTGTGTTGACCCTGCAAACCTTCCCAGGTGAGATATTGCAGCTCAAGGTACTGAAATGCTTTTGGGGAATTTCCCCTAAAACGAACTTTCTGACACTGGCAGGACAGATGGAACAGAAGTGGTGCTGAAGCACATGTTGTAATGATAGCCAGCTTCAGTACCGAGGTCTCTGTTCCATTTCAGATGAGTCCTACCAACAACCTTACGGAGACGAGGAGTACCCTGTAGTGAGATACCTCCGCCAGCCGATCTACATGGAAGTCCGGGTCCTGAACAGGAACGATCCCAACATCAAACTGGTCTTGGACGACTGCTGGGCGACATCCAGTATGGACTCCGCGTCTCAGCCCCAGTGGAACATTGTTGTGGATGGGTAGGTGCTCCCCAGAAGGCTGCCTAGCTGATCCATCAGGATTCGCCTGCGGTACAGAACAAACCTTCTTGGGTTTTAGGGAAATGTTTGGACACAAAGGCCTCGAGTTAGTCCTTGTTTTAGTCCTCAGGTAGTTGGGTGGCTCATGCTGCTCTCCTGTTAGTTTGGAGTCTTAAAGAATGGGATCCTCCCCCGAGGGAGTCTGGCTCTAACACTGTCAAGAGAAATGATGGTTCCAGCCCTCATCCACTGGCTGAGCATATATCAGTGCTAGGTGCTGTGCATTCCACATGCATCATCAGACCTCCTCACCCTGCAGTGGAGACAGGAGCTCTCGTGCTTCATGGAGAAGCTCCAATTTGCCCCTCAAGTAACTAGTCTAAAGCAATACTTAGTAAGTAGTGGAGCTGGGATTAGGATTCCCACTGGACTGTAGAACTGGGCATGACAATGTCGGGGACTTGCAAAGACATACGTATGTATCTGTCCTGTCAACTCTACCTGCAGGGTCCTCTCCAGGGGTCTGCACTGCAGGGAACTGCACCTTAGCTTTCTTGACACTGTCAGGGAGTCTGTTGCTATGCTCTTAACCCCCAGGTACATACCCATCTCAGGACTAGGCATCTTCAGTGCATTTGTGCAGTTCCTTCCTTTACCTCCTTGGAGATGGCTCTCCAAGAGCCTACCTTGAGCGACCTTATCCGTTAGCTTGGTCTCTTCCCTTGGTGTTAACCACCTAGCATATTACCTTCTTTAAGTTTCCTCCTCCCCTGCTAACATGTAAAATATGGCAGGGATTTTTCTACTCCTGTCACTAACATACACTTCTGGGCATAAGAGTTTCTCCTATTAGGGGAGATGACCAAGCCAGTATCTTAAGTGATACAAGTACAACTTGCACTACTTGATGAACAACAAATAGGTGTGTGTTTTAATACACAGTAGAAAAGAATCCAATTATCATGTACAACTTGAGACTTCCTGAGTAGCATTGGATGGATCAAGTCCTAAAAGTAAAAGGTGCTGGCAGAAGGTGGACATGGCTGTGGTCCTGAAAATGACATAACTCAATTTGGATAAACACGCATGAGCAGGAACATGTAGCCGTTGTCTCTCCCTGGTGCTTGTGTTCCAGCTGTGAATACGACCTGGACAACTACCACACCACCTTCCATCCAGCTGGCTCCTCCGTGGCCCATCCATATCACTATCAGAGGTTCGACGTGAAGACCTTCGCCTTTGTATCAGGGGCTCAGGTGCTTTCTACCCTGGTAAGTGATCGAGAAGCCACTTGAGGAGGGTTGAACGTGAGTGCTTGGTTCCCCCTAATTCTCTTCTGTCTCCAGGTGTACTTCCACTGCAGTGCTTTAGTCTGCAACCGGCTCTTTCTGGACTCCCCTCTGTGTTCCGTGACGTGCCCTGCCCCACCTAGGCACAGAAGAGGTAAAAAAAAATCCCAGATCACTGCTATGGGGTTCTTACTCAGAGCAGGCTTGTGTCTTTCAGAATGGAAGGTTTTTAAAGATGGATGACTCTGTGTTAGTCCCCTAACCCTAACCCTAACCCAATCAGTCAGATGGGCAGGTTTTTGTCCAGCTCGATGGGGGAGCTCTCTTGAGAATCCCTCCCAGTTTTTCAGCAAAAGGTCAAACAACCTTGATTGTTTGTGTCTAGCCACAGGGGCCACTGAAGAGGAGAAAATTACAGTCAGCCTCCCAGGACCAATTCTCCTGCTGTCAGATGACTCTTCATTTACAGGTACTGCGCTAACCCCTAGGTTACTTGACTTTTTATCCCCAAAGTTTAATGGTTATGCTCGTGATGAATTAAACAAGAGAATAAAAGATAGTCTCCCTTCCCAGAGAGGCTTCTGTTGAGTCTCTTGTATCCTCTTCTCGAAATCCTACCGACTGATACAAGATGGCTAGAGCAAGTGGGAATGTATTTGTAGAGACCTACTGCAGTTTTGGCCATGTAGGACAGCATATGGCTGTGCCTTAGTCATGTTCCTCCCTCATACCTTTGGGTTATTTCTACTTTAACAGCAAATGCCATTTTGGATCCTTAATGCCATGTTAGATCTCTAAGAGGGTTGTTGCCTACTGCACAATTCAGGATATGTTTCTGGTAGGATTCATAGGCCAGAAGACATGGGTATCTTTTAACTTACCGACCTGGGTAACAGTGGCATTCGATCATGTTGCTGGTAGCATCCTAACCTTTGGGCCTGGAATGTGAAATTAAGCAGTCTTTGCCCTAACAACACAGGAGATCATGCACTGGGGAATGGCTGACCATATCTGTTAGCAGCAGAGGTAGTGTTAAAAAGGCAGAAATTCTAATGCCCTTCCCCAGGTGTGAGTCTGTCTAACTGGAGGCTGGAAAAGCAAGTGGAAATGGCAGAGAGAAGTCAATGTGGAACAGCAAAGGAGATTGGCTTACAGAATAAGGATATAGACCCTGCTGTAAAATTGCCAAAGCATTTTATTGAAGCTTAACTTGGTATAGTTCTCTGGGGAGTCTTAGTATGTAAGGCTGCAACCTCATCTTTCAACCTGACCTTACAACTCGAATGTCTTCTTCCTTTCCAGATGTTGTAGACTCCAGAGGGCGTGGGATCACTGGAGATGTTGCTTCAAAAGCAGTGGCTGCTGGGGCTGCCTTAGTGGGTGCGGTGATAACTCTAGGATTTGTTATTTACCTGCGTAAGAAAAGAACAGTGATATTAAATCGCTAATTGAAGTTGCCAATAAAGTTGAAGTGAACTCCTTGCCTTCTACCTTAAGATTAGATAGCACTGAAGGATTGTTGCTTTTAGCGATCATTTTCTAAACTGAATGCCTAGCCGCAATCGTCTGGGTAGGCTTTGGTCTATGTGGACATGAAAAGAGAGATTTATAAATTGGCCTCTTTTGACCCTTTAAAAAATACTCTGTAATATGTTATGCCCATTGAGACTGCAAAAACATACTCTTTAACTTCAGGAATAACAATTTGTAGACTTACAACTACATCTTTGCTAAATTTTATTGGTACATTTTCGATAATGATAGCATTCAGCATGGGGAATTTTTACCTGTACATGATACATCTTGATTCTTTTTTTTTTCCCACCCCCTCCCTTCCCTGCAATGCCTCTTCCCCTTATTTACAAAAGTTTTATTAATACTTTTTTGCTCTTTCCTTTTCCCCTTCCCTCCTCCTTCTTCCCCCTTCCCATTTGGACACTTTTTTTTTTCTTATTTCAATGTACTATACATTTTTGTCCTACTTACCTTTTCATTTCTCACACTAGAGAGTGACCCTTTACTCCTATACCTGAATCCTCTGGTACTTACATTGAATAATGGGGTTTAGCTCCAGCCTTACATTCAATAATGGGGTTTAGCACCAGCCTACCTGTGGGAGTGCACTTGGGTCTCTTTACCCCTTCTACCCACAGAAAAGATGGGAGCCAGGAAGCTACCTGTGTTGGCTTTCTGGCACTTTAAAGAATGCCTAGCATGGGATAATTAGTAAAGCAATGAAGTGGCTTCTGTAGGTTCAAGTCAACTGATCGGTAGTCCCATGGGTTTGGGCCTGCCCTGGTGGTGGCATAGGACAGAAGTCACAGTGGTCTATTTAGTAGGATCCCATAGCCCGATTTTGCATCATACCTCCAATGACCTAGGGACCGCCTTAGAAGTCCTCAACATCTCTCAGTAGCACCACCCTGGGGAGCAGACCTTTAACACATGGCTTTTGAGGAGATACTCATCCAAAACCTAGCACCACCTGAATCATTAGCAGCACTTGCCTTCCTAAGAGAAACCAGGTGTCCCCAAGAAAGGGATCCAGTATCCTGCTTCAAGGTAATTCCTAACTCAAGTGCCTCTCAAATAGACAACTTCCTTGAGTTACATGTCTCTCTGTGACCCCAGTTGGAAGATCAGCAGGCTCCTCCTCTAGGAAAGGAATAGTGCATTGAAAGATTCCTTCTTGCCTTGGGTTCAAGAATAACAATCCTGGCAGGAAGACTGGTTAAAGACTACTTTCCCATGGCACAGACTTGATCCTTTATGGGCTACTGAGGGGGATCCTGCTCTGCAACTAAATCAGTGCGACTCACCTCAGGAGCTTGGGCTATCTGTAATACAGAAACATAATTCAGTTGTGCCCTTCAATTAGAAACAGCTGGAGGTCAACCAGAGTTTTTTTGCAAGAAGAATATAATTTAAAATCTCTAGGTGGGGGCAAGGTAAAGACAGAAATACAAGTCTCTAATATTTGGACTCTTAACTCTCAGCTCTGAATTCTCACATTACTGAGGTCTTCAAAATCTAACCTGGAAATCAAGCAGAGAGTAGGACTACGTGGTTGACATCTTGTGACACACAGTAGGTCTCTAACTTTGTGATGGATTCTTTTGCCTTCTTTTGACACACTTCATTTGGTTTTGTCTGGATTCTTTTCATAAGTTTGTAGAATCAATCCTGGAACAAGGAAAAAAATATCTGCACTTAACATTGTATGGGAGCTTAGGCATTTCTAGAGTAGTAGGGGTCAACATTTATAGTAGCCTCATCAAGCTGTTCTTTGGACCTTGATCTCTAAGGGCATTAGGCATTATTCTGCTAAGAGTAGGACAAATGGTCTTGGATTCATACTTTTGTGGGTGTGTTTTTACGATGCTGCACTGTAGCACATTAGAACCCAAAACAAAACTTTCATAGCCTCTTTTAATGACATTAAAAATAAAAAGATTGCCTAGCATTCACAAGGCCTTGACTTCCTGACCAGTAGTAGTAGTAGTAGGCTGAAAAACGATGGCCCACCTCATGTCCATGTTTTAGTCCCTGGAACCTGTCAATATCATCACCTTTCCAATAGCAGCATGGACTCTGCAGGTGTGATTGGGGTCTTGACATCGTGAGACTTTCCACGTGATCCAAATGGCAAGGTCCTTCTAAGTCAGAGGCAGGATGGCTGGAGTTAGAGCAGATGCGTCAGTGGCAGCAGAATTCTGAATGACGTAGGGCTAGAGACCAAGGATCACAGGTGGCCCCTGACAGAGGAACAAACAAGGAAACAGACTTTCCTCTAGAGTCTTCAGGAGGCCCACAGTGCCATCGTTTTAATCTGGACCTCTGACCTCCCGAAGTGTAAGATAATCCATGTCTTACGTCACTAGGTTTGTGTCTGTCACGCAGCAATAGGAAACCAATACCCCCTCTACTGAGCCATGCCGCACACACTGGAAACATACTTTGCCCACAGTGCTCATATTACTGAGAGCATTTAAACCCACAATAGCTTGTCCAGGATGGAACTTACAGATCCATGATCACAGAGCTGGAACTTCTCACCTCCAAGTTTGTCGGTTTGCACAGGAATCAAGGACATCTGAACCTTAAGGCTGCTCTCCAGTATGACTCGGTTCTGCCAGGCTTGTCAGGAATGCTAAAGCAGAACTCTGAGGGCAGAAAACTAAACTTGTCTGGAGCAGCAGCTGGGATGAGCACTTGTTGCCATGGTAGCCTGGAACAAGTACATCAAGCAGTTGATTCAAGTCGTGTTCTCAACTTTCCACAGTACGTATCCTACAGTGTATGGGGGAGGCAGCCTAATCAGAGAGGAACTGTGTGGGCAGAGAGTTGAGCTCATATCCCAGAGGGCTGCTCCTTCACTGACACCAGTGTTGGTGATCTTGCGCGTGGATAGTGATCAGCAATACAGGTGTCAGGAGTGGAAAGAGAGGGCTGTGGGATTCTGAGACTCGTTGGGTGGCTCTGATGGCAGGGCTGGGAATGGATATGCACGACCTGGGGAGTCACCTGAAAATTACTTTTCTCCGTATCCTGTCCTGCAGCTTCAGGCAGTTTGGTAGGGTGTGCAGGGCTCTAGAATGGATCTGGATTTGGGTTCTTGATCTACATTCTCCTGGCTGTGTGGCTTTGGGCAGACGTAACAATCTGAGCCTCTCTCAGCATTTGTGAAATGTAAACACAACCTACTTTGCAAGCTTTTGAGGTTTCAATGGGGTTGTTGATGCACTGGTGTACAGATGCCCAATCAGCAATGGAGCAGCTACACAGCCACGGGGTAATAACACTATTCTAAGACTCTGACATAAAACATGAGAGACAATAAGATGGAGGGTCACTGTAGGCTGAAAGCTATCTGCTAGACAAGAGGTTCTCAGTCAGACACATGTTTTACGAAATGGACATGCCTTGACCCACTTCATAAATGGATCTTTAAGGAATATGTTGCAAGCACACTTAGGCTCCGTGGGAGGGTAAATGGTGGCCCCAAGCCATCCATGTGCTAATCCTTGGGACCACCAGTTAAGGTCCCGTTTATGACGAGAAGGACTTTGAAGACATAATTAAGAATGTTGAGATGGGAAATCGTCTGGATTATTCAGGTAGGCCATAAATGTCACCCCCACATCCTTAGAGGAGGGACTTTTGGCTACAAAGAGAAGAAAGTGTGATGATGGAAGTAGAGATTGGCGTGGTGCACTTTGAAGATGTGGGAAGGGCTATGAGCTAGGAATAGAAGTAGATGCTAGAACCTGAAAAAGGCAAAGAAATGGATTCTCCTCTGGGTCCTATAGAAGGAAACAGCTGCCCCAATACCTTGACTGTACACCCCTTCTTAGTCCTTTGATTAGATAGCACCTGGAGATCCATACTTTTTAAAAAAGAATAGCGAGGATTTTTTTCATTGTAAAGTATAATAATGTACTTTTTTTTTTTGAGACAGAGTCTAACTATGTCTTTCAGGCTGGCCTTGACTCACTATGTAGCCCAGGCTGGTTTGAACTCATGGTGATCCTCCTGCCTCAGCCTACCGAATGCTGGGATGACTGGCGTGTGCCACCACACCCGCTCAAGAATGTATTCTTTAAAGGAAAAATGTTAAATTTTCTTTATAGTCTGATCATAATATAGTTTGAATATGACTATGATACCATTTTTTTATTTTCTGAAGAAAAAACAAAATTTTATAAGCAAATAATAAAATAACAAAAGCTATTACACTATGCATTGTTATCTTCAAAGAAGTCCTTACTTTGTAAGTAAACACAACTATAGCCCAAGTGTGCTGAGACAGGGCTTAATGAACAAAAAGGGATCTCCTAGCCTTCTCCCCTCTTTTTATTCTTCTTTCTGCTCACTTCCTTCCTGCTAAGAAGTTATTTCCCTGCCTCCTTTCTGATAGAGTGTAGCATACCCTTAGCAGATGGTGTAATCTCCTCTTCTCTGAACTTGGAGGCAGGGTAGATACCGTGAGCACCATACTCAGGAGACGTGGGTTGAAGTCTCTTATTTAAAAGTAGTAGAGGTAGGCAGACAGGGCTGGGCCCTTGGAGTCTGTACAGAAGATAAGAACCTATCGTCACAACTGTGGCTACAGGTGTATCTTTTGAAGGCCAGGCTTCCAGACAAAAACAATCGACTACTCTACGCCTATGTAATTCCCCTAGGGTTGAGCAGCAGTGAGATATTCTAAATAGGCATCAGTCACTTTGGGTGGGAAACTGAAACCTCCCTAGCCCATTGCTACCTGGAAAATCCTTGTTCATTCATGCATGCTTACTACACTTGCTTCTCCATATAATCAGTATTACATGAGCCACTATACTTGTAATCTTATTGGTATGACCACAGTTTTGTCCCGCCTTATACCCACTTCCTCGCCAGCGGAAGATCAGACCAGAAAGGAGACTGAGGCAGAACAGGCTTGACATTTCCTCTAGAGTATAGAGGAGAATTGGGCCAGTCTATCTCAGTGAAACCTGTCCTCCAAGACTTAAGAATACTTGCTGGCCTATTGCCTTTCAGCTGGGAAGTGGAGTTCCATGATTTAATAGGAATGTATTTTTATACATATAAACTGAATGTCATAAAAGACCCATTTTACTGTATATTCTAAATTTACCTTGCAGTTGCTATTAAAGTCCACTAGGTGGTGCTCTAACATCACTTTTCCTTAGCGCTGTCTGTGCTAAACTAGCAAACCACGGTCAAAGCAACAAACAGGTGGAGTCTAAATGTAGCAAATTCAAGCTGAAATAAAAGACCTTTCCTGCAAAAGTAAAATGTCTCATCAAAGACATATCGTGATCTTTCCCTATTCTCAACTTTAATTTACCATC